TGCATGAGCAAGCATGGCCCATTGATTCTGCATCTATCCCCGGAATGTCATGGTTCAATCATGCACTTCAACGATTCCTTAGACCTGTGGTGTCCAACATGCTAGTCACTAGCCACATGTGACTATTTGGCCAATTGAGTGTGGCGAGTTTGCTATAGCTGTAACCATTATAGTGGCTACTGCTTTGGAACTGGTTGGACACCACAGCATTAGACTCTTACTGTGGGGCTCTTGTCTCCTTTGCTGCACAAATCAGGATTCCTCTTTGGTGGGGAAAATCCTATACCTCAGACTGCAGCTTGACATACAGGACCATGCCTTCAAGAGGGGTGGGGTAGAGTGGGAAAGGCGGGGGGAGGGGAAGAGGCTGAATCTTCTTCATCTGGCCTGCAGTCCTTCTCTACCACGAAAGTGAAACAAAATAAAATAGGCCACACTTGATAAAAGTAGGAAAGCTGCTCTCAGAATGCCCTCTGCTCCAATGTGGATGAAGCTACAGCTTTGCGGAGGATTTTTCAAATGCATCATGGAAGTTAGTGTTTTGCATCTTGGTTGCTATAGCAGCTGAGTTTGTCTTATGTTCCAAAAGCTCATGGTTCCAGAGTTCATCTGGTTTCCAACTGGGGTCAGGAAGGGATTTGCCTTCCCTCCGTCTCACCCAACTGTATTCTGGGAGAGTTTTAAGTTTTGGGCTTTTGGGGGGTTTTTTTTTGGGGGGGGGGAGGATTTTTTTGCCTCCTTCCTCTGAAGCATTAGAGGTGTTCTGGTTGAAGATGGGACACGGGATAGGTTGAGCCAGTAGGGCTCAGAGGTGGCTCTGAGCATTTTCTCTCTCTGGTGCTTGGCTGGCTGATTCTTGCTTACGTGGTCAGGGTCTAGCTGATTGTCAGATGTGGGGTTGGAAAGGGATTTTTCCCCAAGTCAGAATGGCAGTGACCAGGAGCATTGTTTTGCCTTCTTCTGAAGCATGTGGGTGTAGGTCACTTGCCAGGGTTATCTAGATCTCTTTCACTTAATAATTTCAGGGGCTTCTGGGATTTATGCACCTGGGTCTCTCCTATTCTCTGCCTGTGGCATGTAATAGTCTAGTCTCTTGTAATATGTTGGTGGTTAGCATTAGTGAGCAGGTTCTGGGTCCTACTGGTGGCCTGTGATATCTAGGGAGGCAGGCTGTACTCCCTTCTGACCTTAAAGACCATTAGTCTATGAGGCATTTTTCACAACAACCCTCTAAGATTTATAGAAATCCAGCCAGCAGCTGCCATCTCATCCTGTTGTTCCTTCCAAAGGTAGTCTCAGAGCCACAAGCGTTGTCAGAAAAGAAGTGACCGGGAATGCTTTGTGCCCTGAAAGGAACTTCACACGAGCAGGCAAGATGGTGGTGATATGTCTGAAGAAGAAGCTCATTCAGCACTTTCTTGTTTGTTTCTGTGAGCACTTGAATTGCAGGGAAGATCCTTGAGAAATTAGGGATCCATCTTCGAATGGTTGGGATGGGAAGTGAGCCTCTACCTTGGTCAGGAGGAGGTAAAGCACCTCAGCTCTGGATCCCTCCTGCCATCAGGCTTTTGCCATGCTGGAAAAGTAGGAAGACTAGTTCCTGTGACCTGCCTTGCATTAATTAGCCTCTTTGCAGAAGAACAGAAGTAAGACAGAAAAGTAGGGAATGAAATTCTCTTAGTACTGGCCTGCCTTTCCTTCTGCTGCTATTCAGGTACAAGGTTACACTAACATAAATGCAAATGTATCTACTGTTGAGAAAGTCTTAGGTTTGCCAGCCTGTGGGAGATGGCCCCCCATGGGTATTTTAGTATAAACGCCCACCATTTGGATGCCCATTCTGGTTTCTTAGCACATTGCACATTGGGTACAATGCTTGGAAGATAGTTTCTGCCCAGCAAGCAGAGGGAATTTAGGGCAGGATTGGAAATCTGCCATTGTGCAAGAGACGTATGACACGTGGCCGCAGGGGAGGCAGTGTTAGCACAGAGCTCACTTGTCCTCAGTATGGAGAAATTCAGGCACACATATCGAGGAAGGCTCTGGCTGGCTGCCAGGCCGCAGTGCCATGGAGTCATGCAACACTTGCAGCCGCCTCGTGGACAAAGTTAAGGACAGAGTTAGGTCAGAATGTCCCTGCACTGGCTCAGCTTAGCCAAACATATGTCTAGATGGCAGCTGGAGACAGCTTCCTGGCAGTGGCTGAGAGACACGCACGAGCGCTGCTGGAGCCAGCGTGCAGCGAGGCCATTGGAGCTAGTCCCTTGAGTACAATCCTGCCTGACCCCCAGAGAACCGCCAACTCTCCCGGACCAGATGGACCAGACACATCTGTGGCAATAGCATCCAGTCTGGGAGAGTTGGCCGCCCAACCCCGTGCAGCGAGCGTAAGCTGCTGCTGCGTCCACACTGCTGGTTTTACCATGCTCGCTTTAGCAGAGCTCTCATGTGCCAGGAAGCATCTTCTCGGCAGCTGTCCAGACATACCCTGAGCTCCCTTCCTCGGGGCCTTGCTCGAAATACCAAAGAAGCCAATCAGCTGCATTTCATTTCCTTGAATTGGGTCTGTCATCCAGCTTTGTAAGTAGAGCCCATGCTCCAGTTCAAATCCGCCAACAGCAACAGTACTGTGTGGTCACGCCCTTGGATCGCTTCTGAATGGAACAAGTGGAAGGCCCCAAAGATACTCCTGGCGGGTGCTACACAAGCTGAGAAGACCTTGTGTGCACAGCTCACTCTGCTCAAAGAGGGAGAAGTGGGGTGTCAGCCACCTCTGTGGCACTGTATCCCACTTGTCCAAAATCAGAGGATTCTCTGTGGGGCCCACCTCCCTCAGGTTTTTCCATGGGAGGGGCTCAATTCCCCTCCTTATGAGGTCTGAAATTGTATGAACAAAAGGTACAGACTGTTCCCTGGTCAGTCCCACCTGATGTGCTGCAGGTCACACAGAAACTGTACAAAAATTCTGCAGGACAACCTAGGCAGAGGCGACTCCTACAGGACCTCTGGAAGAGTAAAACAAGCAGGATTCATTCCTTTCACTTGTGTTCCCTCGCTGAGTGTAGACGGTCTCTTACAAGAGGGGATGTTGTTCAGGGATTAAAAGGCTAGGCTGCCATTTTGGAGATCTGGCATTTCTGGGACCATGGGTATGATCTCTTTTGTTTTCCTGCCCACCTTGGTCTGTTTAGACTATAAGGTTTTGGGGGGCAGGCACTGGTCACGGATTGTGTCTAGTGGTTAGCACACCAGGATCCAGTGTTGGTTATGGTTTCTAGGCATTACAATAATAGAATAATAATTACTGCAAGACACTACAGCATGCAGTGGCATTACTACCCTATTTTGGGCCATCACTCCAGCAGCATGCAATTCGGTATCTTTCAGCAGGGCTGCTCTGCATTGTCATGTGAAATAATCTGCATTGAAGCACAGGAAAGACCTCTTTTCAGTCTTAGTGCTTACCCGCCCCACCTCGCAGGTGTTTGTGCAAAGTGTGTGGGTGGGAGGAGGAGGGTAAGTCTGGCACATTTGAAATTTTTTTTGGCAAACATTTCCGATTGCTGTGGAGGACACGTAAGGGGACAATGGAGCTACTCCAGGGATGAACAAGGCCCCATTTCTTCAGGCACACCATGTCCCACGCCCTTCTCAGCGTGTTCAGAAAAAAACCCTCTCTCGCCTCACTGCAGAGATGTTGAAATAGGGCACGCCTAGACAAAGCCACTCTCACAAGCGCCTGTGCAGGGAGTACCAGTGCCCTCCAGCAAAAGGCTCTTCAGCTTTTGTTTCCTTCCTGCAGACTTTCTCAAATCATGTATTTTAATATTAACACCACCAAAGGACTGCACTTACACTCCCAAAAGTGCCTTTCCCCTGGAAGGCTCTGTAAGAGCTCTATAGACTCCCTCTCTCTTGGCCACTTCACCCTCCACTGAAAGGCAGCTGCCTCTTGGGTGGAAGGCAACAGTTACAAATGTGCACATCAATGGGCTAAATGCCAACCTTCTGCAGACAGGCTGAGAATTAAATGGGAGTAGCGCAGATTTGAAATATATTTATGGGGAAATGAGAGAATTGCTGAAGAAGGGCGCTTAGTGTGGGAGGAGGGAGGTGTGGGAAATTTGCCAGTTTCTACAACACTCTACTTCCCACCAATAGCCTTCCACCCTCATTTATCCCCTTTATCTTTTCTGTGTCTCTCTCCTATTGTTTGCAACACTTCCCTTGTCTTTCTTGCTTTTATTCTCATTACTCCCAACCTCAAGGATTTGGCTGCCAAGAAGGTGTAACGTAACATGCAATTGCATTGTTCATATGTCTTTGGTTAGAACTTCTGGTAAGCTTCACTCTCACTAGCTAGGATTCTAAGATGTCCCCTCCCAGCTCTGACTTGAGTTGTGCCAACTCTTTTGCCTTCACAGACTTAAAAGTTTTCATTATGTTTTAAAACCACTGACTTGCTAGCCACCAATGAAATGAGAGAGCTTTGACATACTCAAACGCAGGAGGGAAATCTGAAAAAAAAATATATCAAAGGACAAAGTCTGATCCGAGTCGAGTTGGTGTAAATCTGAATTAGCAACATTGATTTCAGAGACCTGCCCTCGACTCCAAAACTTGCAAATGTGTCATTGCACAAAAATGTGCAAGCAACTCCCTTTCTCCTCACTGCACAGAAGGTTCCGCTGTCTCTCTCTCTCACACACACACACACATACACACCCTCAAGGCAATTGGCAAGAATAGCGTTACCTTAGCAAATGGTGTGCAATTGCATTCAGACCCTGTAATACTTTCTGTTGGTGCCTTGGCACAATGTGTAGTAGGATTGCAAAGCAAAATATAAAGGTTTAAAGTGTAGCCATGAGTGGGTCCCACTCGGAGGTATAGAGAAGCATGGGAATGAGGTAAAAGTGAAAAACAGAGCTGTTAGAGCAAAGGAATGGATGATACCGAATAGAGAAGGCATTGCAAAGGATTCTGTGAAGCGGTCTTACCCTGTCGTGGGGCTGGTTCTGGCACCTTTAGAAGAAGGAGCTTGCTTTGCCTGAGTCCTGCCTTCTCGACGTACAGCGCTGCAGTGGAGGGAGTGCCCTGCCTGCCAGGAGTTATAAGTTTCCCTCTGCTGCTGTGTCAGGATGTGCAATGGGGTGGTGTCTTTTCACTGCGTTTTAAAGGAGTTTCTATGAATCAGTCTAGTTTAAAGAAAAAAAATTAATAAGCTACGCCCTGCTTTCTTGGCAGCATGTCAAGAGTCACTGGGAGGAAACCAGCAATTCAAAGAGCTCTCTTGTGGAGTTCTGTCTGACTCAGTGCAGTCCAGAGACCACAGCTTGGAAAAAGGAACGACACTCATCCAGATGAGTAAGAGGAGGCGCCCAAACAGCAGCTGTTTACAAAAATGGACTTCTGGTTACTATTTTTTTTTTTAAAATCTATAGTTACAAGTGTGGTAAAAGATACAATGCACTCAAACAAACAAACAAACAAACAAATGCCCCGGCCTAAGGCGTGGCAATGCTTGAGTGAGTCACTGCTCACCACACCCCTCTGCCACCTTCAGGAGAAGGAGGGCTTTCTGACAGGCACTGAGGAAAGGAAGACGGATCACTCCTGCAGAATGAGACTGGACGAGCCCTTTGGAACTATACTATCCAGTCCAAATCCCCAAATGGCAGTCCTGGAAGCAGTGAACACCTGTTTTCTGATGGGGGTGGTTTGCCTCCTTGTCTCTGGGCAAGAATGACAGAGCAGGCCAGAGGGAGAACTAAAACATGGAGACAGATTGAGGTTCTGCTTACTGAGGATAATACACTCATCACACTAAAGACATCCAAAAATACAGGAACACTTTTCCATGGCTGAGCTGCCTTGGTGCTGTTACACAGTTAGTCTGGGGAAGTAGAGGGGTCTGGGTGATGGTGAATGGCAAGGAGCATCGTTAGCACTCGCTGGGCTTCTCTTCAGCACCTTCCACTTGTTGCAGTCGGAAGCAGTCCAAGGGCGTGACCACAAAGTGCTGTCACTGTCAGTGGAGGTGTGCTGGGGCTCTGTTTAGAAAGCTTGCGGACAGGCCCAGTTCAAGGAAGTGGAATGTAGCTGACTGGCTGCTTTGGTATTTGGAGATGGTAAGGATGGCACCCGTACAATCTCTGTTGAAAATGTGGCCCCGTTATGAAAGAGTTGGAGAGCCTCTGCTTTAAGGAATAAGCCTGCGTTTGCGGAGCAGAACAGTGACAGATAAGATGACTGGAGAAGGCTTTCCCATCTCTCGTGACCAGGATGTTGGCGTATTCTCTTAAAAAGGAAGAAGGTGCTTTTTGAAGTCTGAGCTGGTGAAAAGAAATCCTGGCTGTTTCTCCAGGCTACTCCCTCTGTCTGGCAATGCTGCCTCTCCTGTGATCCCTCCTCCCTTGAGTTTTAGAGCAAAGCACCCAGTTTAAATGGGGCCGTACTGCAGTTGGCAGGAGTGAGAACTGCTCACATGTTCCGAGTGCAGTCCCGGCTCCACTGAAGTCAATGGGAATTTTGCCATTGGTTTCAGTGGAGTCAGGGGTTTGTCCTCTAGCTATCACATAAGGCTAAAGGGGCCTTAGCTCAACCTGCTCTGTTGGTGATATCCTAGTAGTCTCAGAAAGCAGAAGTGAAAGGTACATTTCCTTCCCTGCCCCATAGCGGCTTTTGGCGAGTCGCTCCTGCAGCCTTCCTCTGCTCTCCCTGTGCTGGTTGCTGGAGTGAGTGATGCTTCTCTCAGCATGGGGTTGGCGCACATGGTCATAAATCAGAGAGCTAGAGTATAGAACTCTTTGACAACTGAATCATCTCACCCCACCCAGAGATTTACAAGTGCCTGGATGACTGCCATCGGGCAGCTGGCAATGTGCTTGTGCCATGGCTTCTCTGAGACAGTGCTGAACCAGCTTGCCTCTCAAAGACACCAGAGTTGCAAAGAAGGGGGTGCTGGTGGCCATAGGAGACTCTTTGCACTGCCTCTCTATGCCCTGGCCAAAATTTTAATTGGTAAATGAGGTGCCCCCACGTACCTCCTTCCTGTCCCTTTGAGTGACCCTCCCTCTTCTTGCAGGCACCAGTCGCCAATGCTGGTGGGAAGTGACATGCAGAGAGATCTATGGTATATGCAGCCCTCTTTGTGCGGATAAAGGAAATTGGAGTCACACAAATTGCCATACCAGATTAGTGCATCTGTCTATCCTGTTCAGCACCAACTGCTTCGGGGGAAATCCAAGAACCCCGAAGTAGGCAGTTTCTTCTTCATCTGGAAATCCTGACACTGGATCAGTAGAGCAGAGAAATGTAACCAGCCAGGCCACATAGACAGTGACCAATGCACCAAAGGATGGTCATGGGAGGAATGTTTGTACCATTAGGGTTGTTGCATCATGACTGCCATCTTCACTGGCACTGACCCCAGGGAGTTAGACAAACTAGTTGGTAGCATGTTGGTTAGCCCTGCTCTGGCAAGCAGTGGTGCAAACACCAGCCTGCTGTTGGGGACAGGTCTGAGTGATCACATAGGGATGATGCAGGCAAGCTAGGGTTGGTACTCCAGAACTCTTGAGTGTGGGCAGGAGTTTTGATTTGTCAGTGCGAGGAGTGAGAGCTTCTCTCCATGTATACACGTCTGTCTTTTTAATCTGACCATAAGGGTGGAAGTGAGTGAATGAATTCTCTCTTCCTAACTGTATTAAAAGGTAGAGATTAAATGAAATGTCTTTAAACTCGTGCATAACTGGAGGAACTCACTGCTTCAGGATATTAGTTTAATATATGTAAATCTAACGTAATTCTTTGCATAACAAGAACAGCTTCTGTAGTGCCATTAGCTAGAATCAAAATGAAGGTTTGTCAAGCCTAATTTTAAAAAATGGAAATCCGTTGTCAGGAGATGAGCTGGATAATTCTCCCTTTATAGTTTATACTGCTCAATGAAGAACATTTTACTGGGGCTGGAAGGAAAAAGGGTGCTCATCCTTCCTTTGAAGCATCCAGCATTGCTCATTTATGGAGGGCAGGGTACCCGATTACAGAATCCAGTGGGCTATGCTCTTATTATCTAAGGATTTATCTTTAAACAAAGATCGGCTTGAATGATGTAAATCCAAAGATCATGCCAGATTTATCAGAACTGCTCAGCATGCAAATTAAAAGAGGAGAAATCGTAGCGCTTTTATAATTCTTCCTGACAAAAATACATTTCATGCATATATTGATCCCCAGTTCAATAGCGGTCACTTAATGTTTTTGATCTCTGCATTGCATGCATGCACAAATCAGTTGGTCACATCATGGGGCACTGCTGTGGTAAATGTTGGAGGTCATCAAAACGGGAGGTGAACTCCATGAATCCTCTGCACCTCTATTTGTCATTGCTTGGAGTTGGGAGCAATTTTAAGGTTCCAAATGTAAATTGGTGATGCGGCTATGCTAGAAATGCCAGAAGAAGTTACAGTAGGTCATTTGTAATGGGGCTTTGAAAGGTTTTGTGGCAGTGCTGGTTCTTTAATTGCATATGCTCTTTTCAGGCTTTACAAATGATGTGTATGCACATTCTGGGGATAGCCATGTGATATGGTAATTTGCTGCAGCACATGATACATTTCAGAACCATGTGATAAATTGTGTTTGCCATGCATGACTCTTCAGGGCTAGAAAGGGGAACATTCATATATGCCACTGGAAAGGAGACAATTCCAGTTTTCTAGTGGGTGTTGCACAAGACTTGCTTAAAGCTCTGCTAGGTTTTCAGGTAACAAGTATCTGACAACATCATCATGTTGCTGAAAATAATGTTTAGTGCCTTCTCAAATGTATTTTTTGTAATTTTGCTCTCCTTCAGAGGACTGTGCAGTTAGACTAATGGTACTTATGGTATGTCTACACTTGCAGACTAATTCGAAATAGGGCTGCAAATGTATGCATTCGGAATTGCAAATCAAGCCCGGGATTTAAATATCCCACGCTTGATTTGCATCTTCCCGGCTGGGAGCCATTTTTGAAATTGACAAGCCCGGAATAACTGCTCGCATCTACACACGGCAGTGAAACGGGCGTCTGAAATAAAGCCCTATTTCAAACTACCTGTTAAACCTCATTACAGAATTAAATACTGCCAGTCAATTAAAAAGAGTTCATGTAAATTGCTTGTGCTGATTTAGCTGTCTTAATTGTGTTGAAAGGTGATAACGCAAACTAGATGGACAGACAGACCGATTGAGCACACAAACAAGCTAATTGATAATACTTCACCATGTAAAACTTTGATGTAAAATTTGAGAATTAGGCTGCAAGTGTAGACATACCCTTAGGAAGCCTGTCTTTACAGGCTGAAAGATAATAACAGTCAACATTAAACATGCTTTCTCTCTCCAACAAAGTTCTGACTTTTGTTTTATGGTAGGGAGGGTCTATATGGTTTCTAGGCATTCAAAAAGGAATGATCGCTGAATAATGAGCTTAAGTATTTCTGCAAAACACATGAACAGCAACCATTTCAAGAATGCCTAAGTCCCATTTTCAAAAGCACTGAAGGACTCCCTCTGACCTTTTGAAAATGGGTCTTAGGTACTTTTGAGATTTGTACCTGATGTCTGTAAAATTCAGGCTGGCGAGGTGTGGTATGATTAGCATTTATTGACATGACCTTCAATGACTCACTCTTGACTCCACCACTCCTGAGTAATATGATATGGCCATCTCAAAGTTATGGCAAAAATTTTTCCTACCACAGCAGACTCACATGTGTTCTTTCTAAACAACATGAAACCATTTTACCAGAGGAGAAATGAACTTTCCCAGTCACTTTCTGAGTCACTAGAATTTTTCTTCCCAGAATGTGAAAATCACACCTTCATTCTTCTGTTATTGGGATTGAACTAGGGCATTTTGACTTCTCACATTATCTTGGAGATCAGTGACTTTGCCACTGAGGGTTGGATAATTTACACTGTTGCCCTCAGCTAGAATGGACTGTGGCTTTTGCATCAGGGAGTTGAACAGGAGACTAAGGAAATTATGGATTCTCTGAGTGCAGGCTTTAGAATAACTCATGCATAATAATGAGTGATATAACTTGCTAACATGGGACCTTAGGTTTTTGGCTTGCCCATCAAACTGAGAAATTGAATTAGGAAGTTATAATTTGCATTAGATTGAGATTTTGACTGCCAGGGAATGGCGAATCAAAGCTGATTTTGGAAGTCAAGATACAGCAGTTGACGTCTGAACTGGA